CCCCCCGTATTCAGGACAGCTGTGTAGCATTAGATACAAAAACATTTTTACCTGGTTTTTGTACTGTTATGGATACTAGTAAGTCTTTTTCTAAGTTTAAAACCTCTAGCTTGAAACAAAACAGTTCTTGATTTTAAAGATTGCATGCATATATGAACTATTGAAGGCGTTCTGTTCTAGACTGCCATTATATTCAGTCTTTTTTTCTTGTAACTTTCTGATGGGACTTCTAACTCTCTCATTGGAGTCAACATCAAACTCAACATCTGCTTGGTCCGTTGGTCCAAGGTCCACAGGGCCAGACCTAAAGAAAAGGTACAATGCCTGTCCCCAAAGCCTACGCCCACAGAGCTCGTGTGTGTGTGTGTACTTGTGTGTTTGTGAGTGTGGGGAGAGAATATCCCTCCACCTCTGGAGCTCGCCCAGCCTCGATGCATGACGGGAGCTGCCTTCTCTGTCTCCCTGTCACACCAGCACTTGGCTTAGGAGGCAAGTGACCTGTAGGCGATCCCGATCTCAGGCCACTTTATTGAAAAGATTCGTAGGAGGTGGTGAAATGAGCCTCCCACGGGTGCTCGTGGGTCCCCTCTGTGACCTCCTTCACCAGCCACCCTCTTTGTACTTGTGCACAAATGGAGGCACTCCCTAGGCTTTGCGGCCTCTTATCCCCGCCGTTAGAGGAAGGTTGAAATAACTCACTTTGCTTCTGTTTGATGTGGGAGGTGGGAGTGAACGTGTGTTACTCTGACATGACATAAAGGAAGACCCCAAATTCAAGGGTATCTCAAAAAAGAATTGTTTCTAGTTGTAGAACCACCCGTGTTTTGTCTACTGTTGTCTTGACCCCTCTGACGAGTCATGAATGGCAGTGGGCTGTCACCACCCCGCTGTCAGGCATGTGCCGGTATCTCATGAGGAGAACTCCGAGTTGGGCTCCAAGGCCAGGCCAGGAGGCGAGGGCACGCGGTGCTAACGTGGACCTCTCTTCTCCCACAGGGCTTGCCTAATCACTACTGGAGAATAACTTTCATTAACAAGTGCTATGAACTCTGTGACACTTACCCTCCTCTTCTGGTGGTCCCCTATCGGGCCTCGGATGACGATCTCAGGAGAGTCGCCACTTTCCGATCCCGGAATCGAATTCCGGTGAGTACCACAGTTAACCTTGACCTCAAACAGTGCCTGTTATGACCAGAGAATGGTAGTCAAGTAGTTAAAAATACACTGGGAATTTTTAAGTCCAGAAAGAAATCTTAAGTGTCTTCTAAGTGCACAGTACCAGGCCCTATAGGAAATGAAGGAAGACTGGCTCGCAGTCAAGGGCAGAAAATGAGCACAAGTGACCCCCCCCAAGAGGCTGTGAACATCAGCTAGGTGCTGTGTGGACAGACAGAAGGCCTCGGTTGGCTTCGTCGCTGTGGCACAGCACTTGACATGCCCTCTCAATAGGCTCCCGATGAATGTCAGGGGAATCCTGACACTGCCCAGTGTCTTGAGACTAGAGAGTGTGTAAGGACAGGACTCGCCCTTTTCTTGGTGGTGTTGATGATCTTCTCCTTGGCATGTTTTAGAGCTCCCTTGATGCCACTGTCCAGCCTGGGTGGCCATATTCCTCCTGAGAAGGTCCTTCCAGAGTCATGGGACCTAGCCCATGGTGTCTTCTCTGGGCCCTGAAGCCTCTGCACACACCATCCTCTCTGCTCTGTCCACATAACTTACACTGATTGAAAGGCTAGAGCTCTTTTGGACTTCTGTTTATTTTCAGATTTTATCATAGTAAGTTCATCCTAGAGAATGTGAAACCAGGCTGCTCCTTGGAGGCAAGGATTTTGTGGCTTTGTCCAACATACTTTGGACATGTTTCAAGGAGTCCTTGGAGAGGGACATCATGCTTGGGAGGCTACCCAGAGGGACTGATTCGGTGACTGGGGTAATGGGGGTAGGTATGTCAGAGACAATAAGGTTGGCTCAGGACAGAGCAGGGTCAGGGCTGTTGTACATAGGGTCACTGTGAGTTGCAAGAGACTTGACAGCATATAACAACAACAACAACAACAACAACAACAACATCATAGTAAGTGCATCCCATGCCCCAGTAGTAATTTTTAAAAGGAAAAGCTGACAAACTCAAGATTGTTGCCTTGCTTTTAACTTCCAAGAATTTTGAGAATCCCAAGAAGTTTGAAGTTTTGTCCAGTGCCCACCTCATACATATTGCAGCTTTTCCATTTCACTTGTTGCTCTAATTTGTTTGCGCCCAGCTTCTTGATACATGTATCTCAAAGTATGTTCCTTAGCTTATTTTGTTAGAATGCAATCCTGGGGAAGTTCGACTTAAAAATTCCTTCCTTCCATGCTCGGCTGGGAGTACGATAGCCAGAGTCGACGCCTCACCCTGGCTGGCGGCCTGGGTCATAGGACTGGGCTAGGGTAAGGGGGGTATTGTGTTTCCTTAATGATTCCGTTAACAGTTGTTGGGTGCTAGAGGCTGTTCTGTGTGAAGTGACATCATGCTTGGAAAAGTTGAGAGATCGTGACGGAGAGGAAGACCCTTCATGAGATAGATTGACATACCGACTGCCACAGTGGACTCGAACGTGTCAGAGATCCAAGGACAGCACAGGCTAGGCCACGGTTCACATCTGTTGTTCATAGGGTCACTAGGGTTGGCATTCTACTCAACAGCACCTACAACAACAGTGGCAGCATATCCAAAAAAAAAAAAAAGGTCAGCAGTTCTAATCCAGTAATACATTCCGCCACAAAGAATTGCCGCTCCAGAAACCCAACTTGATGGCAATGGATTTTCTTTAAAGGGATGTGTGTGTGTGTGTGTGTGTGAGAGAGAGAGAGAAGGGGTTTAAAATGTCATGGGATTTGGGAAGGAGGGGTCGTGAAACCGACATACCCAATCCACTTTGTGGATACAAGAATCTACATTATTCCAAAAGAATTCACATTTCCCAAGAGAACGAGCGCCCACTGCAGAGTGAAGGGGGTTCCCAACACGTTTGTGTCTTGGCTGCTTTTCACCTGATTCCTCCTTTGCCGCAGGTTACATTTCTTTTTTCTTTAAAAACCCAAAGAAGTGAACCCCTCAGGCATTGAGCACCTCTACATCTTCTCACATGGCCTACCCCCAGACCTTTTAGGCTGGCAGTATTCTGCGCCTTGACTCTTGGGGTACATCTCAGAGGTTTCCTGAGACACAGAAAATGTGTGTGCCTTTAACGATAACACCAGTGGCATAAGATCCTTATGGCTTGACAATCATTTATTTATTTTTTTAAAAAGTCTAAATAAGAATCCAAAGTGTTGGTAAGAAAGGGATCCCAAGTGTTATTTTGTATGTAGGTAAAATACATGCAAAGGCATTTGACTGTGTGGATCATAACAAACTGTGGCTGACTCTGAGAAGAATGGGAATCCCAGAACACTTGATCGTGCTGATGCGAAACATATACTTGCACCAAGAGGCAGTTGTCAGAACGGAGCAAGGAAACACTGCATGGTTCAAAATTGGGAAGGGCGTATGCCAGGGATGTGTCCTGTCTCCATACCTTTTCAATCTGTATGCAGAACAGATTATCCAGGAGGCTGGGCTCTATGAGGAAAAATGTGGGGTCAGGATTGCTGGAAGATCTATCAACAATCTGTGTTATGCAGGTGACACAACCCTGCTTGCTGAAACTGAGGAGGACCTCATGTACTTGCTGCAGAGGGTCAAGGAGTGTAGCCTCCAATATGGATTGAGGCTCAAGGTCAAGAAGACAAAGATTCTCACCAGTGGACCAATTGGCAACATCAGGATGGATGGTGAAGAGATTGAGATCGTTCACAGCTCTAGTTTGCATGGCTCCACAGTCAACAGTCTTGGCACCAGCAGCCAGGAAATTAAAAGGCGCATTGCCATGGGAAAGTCTGCTGTTAGGGACCTCTCCAAAGTTCTGGAGAGCAGTGGTGTCTCTCTGGAGACTAAGGTGCGTCTGATACAGGCCATGGTCTTCGCAATCACCTGGTATGCATCAGAGAGTTGGACAGTGACCAAGGAGGATAGAAGGTGAATTGATGCCTTTGAGCTGTGGTGCTGGAGAAAAGTATTGAATGTACCGTGGATTGCCAAGAAAACAAACAGATTTGTCCTGGAAAGGGTTAAACTGGGTGGCTCCTTGGAGGCAAGGATTCTGAGGCTCCGTCTAACATACTTTGGACAGTTGTGAGGAGAGACCGGAGAGGGACATCATGTTTGGGAGGGTGGAGGGACAGCGCAGGAGGGGAAGGCCCTCTATGAGGTGGATTGATTCAGTGACTGGGATAATTGGGATGGGAGTGTCAGAGACAGTGCGATTGGCACAGGACAGAGCAGAGTTTAGGGCTCTTGAACATAGGGTTGCTATGAGTCGCAGGTGACTCGACGGCACACAACAACAACAACAACAACAACAACATTGGAACATAGTAGTTCCAATGATACGTATATATTCCTTAGTTGTCAGAAAGGTTTGTCTTGACTTGGTGGAACTATGTAATGTGCAAGGAATCCCCGTTCACGCAAGACAATTTAGAAAATACTCTTAAGTAAAAGGAGAGTCTGCCCCCTAGCGGGAACCACAGGTAACAAGCGTGTGAATTTCCTTCCAGACTTCGTTCTGTGCATATGTGATTTGATTTCTTTTAAAAAAGCAAAAATCAGTAACAGATGAAATTGTACTTGGATTTTATTGATGATTGTAGGAGATAAAAGGAACAAGAATCCATGGGAAAATTTTTTAAAATATTTTCTTTTTGGTGAATATATGTTTTCTACTTAAAAAAATTTAATTAAAAGAAAGAAGAAGTTATTCTGTAATTTATGTCTCAGAATCTCTTTTTCTCCTTAGCAGCATCTTGTAAACAACTTACTGCATTGGCAGCTCAGAGCTTATATGCCATGATTCATGTACTCCATTTCCTGTTACAGAATACTGAAGTTCTTCCTCTTTTTTTGTTTTATTGTCATGATATGTCCAATATGAAAACCTTTTGTAGGTAAGCACATTTTCACTTATGTCGTTCCGTGACACTGGTTGTGTTTCTCAGAACTGTGTTACTAAGTACTTGTCCCATCAGAACTGGCCTATAGATGACTTTCTAGCAGGTTTTCAGAGGCAGGAAATGGCCCAGAAGGAGATTACCCATCTTTCTCCCTTAGAGCAGCTGGTGGATCTGAACCATGTGCCTTTGAGATTGCAGCGCAGCTGCTTACCACTAGAACACCAGAGCTCCCTAACCAGGACCACTGCTCTACTCCCAGTTACTCCACCGCCATGAAGAGCAGCTCTCATATGCATAGCAACTGATGGGAAAGACCGTAAGCTGAAATTGGCGCACCTTAGTGTTTAAACTGACATCATTGCTTCTCGGTGCTTTGGAGAGGTCTCTGACAGTAGATTTCCCCGTTGCAACATGCCATTTGATTCCTTCATTGCTGGTGCCAAGGGTGTTGATTATGGATCCTAGTGAGACCGAATTGTGCCAATTGAAATCTTTTCTCCGTCTGCCATGCTGTTTACCAGCCCAGTGATGAGGAGTGTGGCCTTCTTGATTTTGAGATGTAGTTCTTATTAAAAGGTGTAGTCTTCGATCTTCTGCAGCAAACATTTCAAATCCTCCTCACTTGCTGCAAACAAACTTGGGTCATCTGCATAATACAGGTTGCTGATGAGTCTTCCTCTGATCCTGATGTCAACAGTCTTAAAGCTCAGCTTCTTGAATGATTTGCTGAGAATACAAACTGCATGGGTATGGAGAGAGCGAACCAACCATCGCTACTGGGGTGACATGGTATCTCATGTGCTTTTGATTTGCATCTCTTTTCTTGTCAGTGATTTTGAACATTTCTTCATGTGTCTGTTGGCTATTTGACTATCTTCCTCTGTGAAAATTCTTTCCATGTCTTTTGCCCGTTTTGTAATTGTGTTATCAGTCTTTATCTTGTGGAGGCCCAGGAGTATTCTGTAAACTTTCTATATGAGACTCTTGTCTCAGATGGTATTGCCAAGTGTTTGTTCCCAGTCGATAGGTGTTCTTTTCACCCTGTTGGAACATGATTTTGATACGCACAGGGATTTAATCTTTAGAAGGTCCCATTCATCAGTTTTATCCTCTTCAGATTGTGCATTTCTGCCTGTATTTGGCAGTCTTTTTTATACCATAGAATAGGCCATCTAATCTTGATCCCAGGTTTTCTCTAATGAACTTTATGTTTTGGGCTTTGTTCCCTGGTCTCCAATCCACCTTGAGTTGATTTTTGCATCCAGTGTGAGATGTGAATTCTGTTTTGGCTTTCTGGAGGTAGCGGTCCAGTTTTGCCAGCACCATTTGTTGAAGGGGTGGTCATTTCCTGATTTGGTAGGTTTTATTTCCTTGTAGAGTATCAGTTGACCGTAGACAGCTGGGTCTATTTCTGGGTTCTCAATTCTGTTCCATTGGTCTGTGTGCCTGTCATTGGACCAGTACCATGCTGTTCTGGTTACTACTGCTGTGTTTGGAGGTCAGAGAGTGCTATGTATCTTACTTCATTTTTGTTCTTCAGAATAGCTTTGCTTATTCAGAGTCTCTTTTTTTTCCTCCAAATAAACTTGACAATTTCCCTTTCTATCTTCTTGAAAAATGAGTTTTATATCTGGATTGGGATTGTGGTGAACATGTCGATTGATTTTGATAGGATTGTCATTTTCACAGTATTGAGTCTGGCATCCACTTCCTAAATAACATGCTGCCGGAAACTCTATGGACTTTAATAAATGTTGATAGTTGTAGAGGGTCTTCGGGCCTTTTGTTCATAAGGTCACTATGAGTCGTGCTGGACTTGAAGGCAATCAACAACACAACCATAAACAAGGCACATTTTTCCATTTCTTTAGGTCTTTTATTGTGTCTTGCAGGATGGTTCTATAGTTTTCTTTATACAGGTCTTTTGTGTCTCTAGTTAGGTTCACTGCCAAGTATCTCAGTTTATGGTTGGCTCTTGTAAATGGTATTGCTTTCTCGGTTTCCTTCTTTGAGTTCTCTTTGTTACTGTAGAGGAATCCCTCTGATTTTTTTTGGATATTGATCTTATATCCTGCCACTTTACTAAACTGGCCTACTAACTAACAGGTTTTTGGTTGAGTCTTTGGGGTTTTCTGTGTATATTATCATTTCATATCATATCAATACTTCATCTTTTATGCTGCTTAGATCACCCAAGATTTTGCCTATAGCATCTCTCAGTATTGAAACTTGAAGCTTGAATTTCATTTCCACTTCTTTCAGTTTGAGAAATGCTGGGTGAGTTCTTCCCTTTTTATTCTCTGACTCCAGCTCTCTGCACAATCCGTTATAATACTTTGCTTTGTCTTCTCCAGCTACCCTTTGCCATTTTCTGTTTAGCACTTCCTTTTACTTTATTGGGGTTTTTTTTCACTTAAATTCATACACATTATGTTTCATTCGTATGCATTGTGTTTCACACATTCTTTTATTCACTTTAGGTTTCATACGATCATTCATATGTTGTGTTGTTGTTGTTGAGTGCCGTCGAGTCGCAGGCGACTCCTAGCGACCCTGTGAAGGAGAGTCCTTGACGCTTGGGTGCCTTTCATCCTCTCTCCAGGTTCATAGGGTTTCCGGAGACAAGCTATTAGGGAAGGGGACGCCACTCTTCCTTCCACGCTTGTTCAATCGGGGAGCTCCACCCCACTCTCTGTCTGCATTGGGTAGCCAACCATTAACACATTTGACACATCCGTGTCACAGTGTTCAGCCTCACAGCAACCACAAGTGACCGCGGGACGGCAACTTGTACACCAGGGCTATATGACCTAGAAGAATGTCTGAACAAAAACAACGAAAGACTGTCCTGAGGGCCGCGAACTAAAACTCACCCACCTTTGTCTTGGTCGCATTGTTTTCTCTTCGCTGCGCCAGCTGATCTTTCTATATATTTGTGTTTTATAAAATTAATCATTGTTGATCTATGCCTACTATCACCCCACCTTTTCAGGTCCCCATTGGATCTTTCCTAAATCCTTCACCCCTTCCGTCCACCTACCTCTGTTATCCTTGTCATTTTCCTCCTGCCCCTTCTCCTTCCCCTTTTGGACTTTTATACACATTTGACTAGTTATCAGGCCATAGTCTTTCTAAATCATTGTTATGCATCTGAGAGCTGGACAGTGAATAAGGATGACAGGAAAAGAATTGACGCCTTTGAGCTGTGGTGTTGGAGAAGAGCACTGAACATCCCATGGACGGCCAAAAGAATAAACAGATATGTCTTGGAGATGGTGCAGCCGGAGTACCCTTCGGAGGCAGGAGTGAGGAGGCTTCACCTCACATACTTCGGGCATGTTGCTAGGAGGGGCTATGCCTTGGAGAGGGACAGGATTCTGGGAAGGGTGGAGGGTCGGTGAAGGAGAGAAAGACCCTCAACCACGTGGATTGACACGGTGACTGCTGCAATGGGCACTTTTGTGTCAAGAAGTGTGAGGATGGCGCAGGATAGACCAGGGTTCAGATTTTTTGTTCACAGGATCACTGTGAGTCATACTTGACTCAGTGGCACCTAACAACAACAACAACAACTAGTTATCCTTCTATTTTTATAATAGTGGTCTTATGTAGTATTTGTTCTTCTGAAACTGAGTTCACACAGCATAATGCTCTCTGGACTGTCCCATGTTACGCAGTATTCTACGAAACCGTTGCTCCTTAGTGCTGCATAGTATTCCCTTGTGTGAATGTACCACAGTTTCTTAATTGGCTTCTTGATCCTCTAGTATAATTTTCACAATCTCTTCTGACATCCGTTTTGGTCTTTTCTTTCTCCTCTGCTTATGTAATGACCTTTTGCTCTCTCGATGGAGAATGTCTTTGATGTCATCCCACTATTCATCTGGTCTTCTGTTATTAGTGTTCAGTGCCTCAAACCTTTTCTTGAGGCGATTCATATTTTGGCTCTTGTGAACTTTTTTTATTTTCTTCAGCTTCAATTTGAACTTGCATGTGAGCAGTTGATGGTCTGTCCACGGTCTGTCACCTGACCTGGTTTTGACTGCCGATTTTGAGCTGCTCTAACAATTCTTTCCACAGATGTAGTCATTCTGATTTCTGTTCTCTTCTCTAGATGAGGTCCTTGTGTGTATTCATTGTTTGTGTTTTTTAAAAAAGGTTTTTGCAGTGACTAGATCCTTGACTTTATAAAATTCAACCATTCTTTGTCCAGCCTCCAACTACCATTCCTTCTACGCTGTTTTTTACTTTTGCCTTCCAGTCACCGATTATTATTAATGTGTCATGATTGCATGTTTGGTCAAGATATCACAAAAGGAAAAGAAATGCAGAGGCGAAACCCTGTCGAAGTGCCATACCCTAGGCTGGCAGCTTTGTTCTGTTCACAGCCTCTGAGCATGAGAAGGGGGCCGGGAGAAAAGAAAGGCCTCGAGAAGGAGCACTTCCGTGTACTTAGCAGGCTTCAAATGCACTGCTCGGCGAAAATCTGTATTAAATACTAAGTCTCGGGCATGTGTAGCAGTTTGCTGCTTGGAAAATGATCTCCTGTCTTGTATCATCTCTTGATGAGATGCAAGAGCCCTGGAGATCAGGCAGCCTCGGCTCCAGTGTGCAGCTTGAGGATCGAGGTTTCCCAAGGGGAAGTGTCTTGCCCACGCTTCCCGGTTCGGAGGCTGCTGGCTCCCAGCCAAGGGTGACAGTGGTGATTTGAATCAACCTCTTCTTTGCTTGATGAGCCATGTAAGTATATCATTTTTCATCAGCTCCTGTGTAATTGTTAGAAACATCAGGTTTGCCGTTGTAGCGGGTGACACCCAAGAGTACAGGGCTATTGGATTTCACATTGAATGGGCCCTGACATGCATACTTGTTGGGCCTTGTGCCTTTTTTTGATTTGGGGCACCCTCACTTAAGTGGCCATGATGCCTGTGTCTAGGAGCGGATGTGAGCAGGACGCGGGCAGCATGCTGAGCCCAGCCCTTTAAGGCGCCTCCAGCTGGTGCCAGCCAGCCCTGTGAGAGCACCAGATTTTGCCCCTGGCCCAGCGAGAGGAGCCTGGAAGCTTCTGAAAGGGCCCAATGTCCAGGCTCAAGATTAGACACAAGGGCCAGAGCCACATTCAACCCCCTTGACAGACACAGTTTCTCTTCTGCTCTAAGCCGAGAAGTGAGGTCTTGGGTCGAAAACTTGAGAAGCTCGAGTCCAGTAAAGGCTTGATGGGTTGTCCTGGGCCTCAGATACTCGAGCTGCTTTATCCCGATGATTCGCTTCGCTGCTCTGAGAGCGTCTACTCTGGGAGAGAGACCAATGAAAAACTGACCTGGAGACGTCAGTGAGCGCCATGGAGACATGCGGGGAGGGTGCCGGTGCCGCCTGCTGCTTCTGTTAAACAGGTTTATAGGATAACAAATCTAGTGCAAACCCGATCCTAAGCTTTTCATTTCTTTTATAACTTACCTTCTAGGCAAGCATTTAGTGTCACAATGGTGCTCATTAAGAGTAAGTAGTCAAGTGATAGTTATTCTAGTTGTTTCCAAGTCACGAAAGGTAGCACGTGCGCTTTGCTGAGGGGGCTCATGAGCAAGTTGCAGTTCGACAGCCCCGGCTCCAAAGCCAGGGTCACTGCGCGGTGACTTTTAGGGTTTTCCTCTTCACAGTTGTAGTAGTTCTCGTGAGAATTGGTTTCTCAATACTCAAAGATGTCTGAATAAAACCACAGGTGCTGTCATGGATTCATCCAGAAAACAAGACGGTCATCGTGCGCTGCAGTCAGCCTCTGGTCGGTATGAGTGGCAAACGGAATAAAGATGATGAGAAGTACCTTGATGTTATCAGGGAGACTAATAAACAGCTTTCTAAACTCACCATCTATGATGCCAGGCCCAATGTCAACGCAGTGGCCAACAAGGTAGGTGGCTGTAACAGAGTGTGAAGGGTTTTCCTGAATGGTGTTACCCTGGCAAGTAAACGTGTTAGCTTCATTAAATAGTTGAACATGATTTAAATACAAAATGCCAGGGGTTTGTTGTTTTGTTTGTTTTTTTTTTGTAGAAAGTAATTTTTAATCACAAAACTTCTCTTTACCAAGAATTAACTAAAATCACATGAAAATGAAACAAAAAGTTCTAGGGCAAGCCTAGAACTATAATAAACTGGGTTTTGGCTAGAATCTTGGGCAAAAAGCTAGCATTTCTTTGGCATTTTTTAGGCCGTTTATCAACACTTCCATTGTGTACAGCATGGTGCTGTCTGTAAGGCTTGGTGGAAAGTTAGGATTCTCAAAACCGTCAGTGTGTAATGTAGCCTTACCGGAATCCTCCGCGCCCCACTCTAGCTAAGTGCATTCTCATTTATATCAGATGATTTAAGGAATTGATGGGTCCGTGTCTGGGATGTTTCTCCAGACTCACTGCTTTTAAATGTTCTTACTCATTCCCTCACACGTGCTCGCTCCCTCTCTTGCTTGTGGGTGCATGTATTCTCTCTCCCCCAACACATACTCATGTGCGCGTGCGCGCGCGCGCACACACACACACACACACACACACACACACACACACACAGAGATTTCATCTTTTCCAAGCAGTCTCCCTCAGTTGGCGCCTTTGCCTGCCTCGGCAGAGCATGCCAAATGCACTGACCTTTGATTGGGGTGGATCATGAATCCTGGAGTCCTAAGTGTGTGCTGGAAAGCCCAGACCTACCTTGATGACTGCGTCCTTCGTGTCAGTCAGGGATGGAAAAGTTGACAGGAGGCTGTGATGCTGTAGGAAGGTGCTGTGAGGTTGGGAGGGAGCCAGGCACCAGGCCGAGCTCGCAGCGGTGAAAACCCGAGGAAGCGCCGGCTGCAGTGCCATGGGCAGCCGTGCCGTGGGCAGCCGTGCCGTGGGCAGCCGTGCCGTGGGCAGCGCAGGGAGCTTCTGCTCGCTTGCTGTCTGGATGCGTGGTCGCTGTGAACGCCGTTGACTGCACAGCTGTGTGCACTCACATATCCACTGGCTGGGGGCTGCGGGGCGCCTCTTAGTTACCCCACGTGGATCAGCTCCTGTCCATTCATGTTGTTTGGCCAGCTCTTTGGTACCCTCCTCCTGGATTTCGGTTCAACTAATGAAATCCTTTTCAAATTGTAAGGAAAGTGATTAGGATGGAGACTCTACAGAGGAATTACAAGTGAACAGGAAATGAGCACTAAATACGAGTCTCTTCTTGGATTATCCTTCATTTTCTCCATCTCTGTTCCAATTCTCCTTCATATCTAAATCAGAGTCGAACACATGCATAAGGTGCAGTATTTCCATGTCTACATATTTAGCCTGAAGTAGAGGGGATATAACATTACAGTGAAGTGTTTACAGTGAGTATTTTAAAAATAATAAAATATAGAAAACAAACTCTTTAATTGCATTAGCTCTGTAGCTGGTTGTCATGGCAGTGGGAGTCTTGAATGCCTCTTTAACACTCTGGAAACGCACCTCTTCTTCCATTTCTTTTCAGAGTGAAGGGGAGGGACAGGCAGGCCTGACAGACCCTGGAGCATTATTCTCAATGCCTCTCTTACCCAGCTGTCTCTGTCCATAGCAACGGGTCCTCGGCCCTTTCCTGCTGCTGTGGTTGGCAATCTGGGCTGCTCTTGCTTGGCTGAAGAAAGGAAAACAGAAAAAGACTTTAAAAGGAGCCAGTAATGGCGGATTTGAACCTGAGGGAATTCAGGCTTTGCCTGACTAATTGCTTTCCCCCACTGACTTCTGTTCTCTTTGGACCTACTTTTTCTCTCCCTTGTGGGTTAGTAATTTACAACTCCTCGTGTCACGAGCCACACCATCTTAGAGTCAGCGAGCCCAGCAGTCCCAGGCATAGGGACGACGTGGGGCCCAGCTGCCTGTTCTCTGTGAGGAAACAAAATGAATGCCGTTCACGTCTGATTTTGCCAGAAACTTTGGCAGTGAGTCCAAGGTATCGTTTCTCTTTTCTCACTTACCATTTTCAGATCTTTTTCAGAGAAACCCTACTGTCAAGAATCTCTCAGACAATCACTATGACTGTTTAAAAGCCGCCTGTGTCGAGAAGCAGCCGATCTATCTAGAACCATTACAGACTCGCACGGCCACTAGACCTCGGGCCGGCCCTTCGCCTGGGCCCTGGCTTTGCAGTTGGCACAAGCATCCACCGGGTGGACAGGGACCCCTTGTGAACGGTGAATGCCACCTTGCTCCATTGGTTTTCTGGAAATGGTGACACTGTCGCTAAGTCCGAAAGATGAGCTTTTTCACAGAAAAGAGATGTGGCCGTCAGCTTCTGTAAAGTGACGGCTTTGGACACGTCCTGGGGATGTTCTCCCCCACTCTCAGGGTCATGAAGAACATCTTGTTTGCTTTGGGTTTGGTATTTTTTTGTTTAGTAACCTTTCAAAAACAACCAGCTTCATCCTTACCTTTGTGTGGATGCCATGGAGAGCAAGGTTTACAGAAACATTTCTACTTAACACGGTGCCACAAATGACGGCAGATATGTTTCTAAGCACGGTCGTCAATTTAAAAAGTGTGCGGCAACTTGTTAAATTCATTGTTGTCATCAGTGGGTTTTTGGAGGCTATAAGTTGCCCCATCTTTCTCCCTCAGAGCCACTGATGGATTCGAACTTGTAGAGAGGCTCAGCCTTTGGGCTAGCAGTGCAGTTCTACATAGGCTACACCCTCAGAGCTCCCTTTCCACATAACTGCTTGAATAATAGCCATTCCTTTTCTCCGCAGTCTTTGGGGGCCAGGGCCTCCGGCTGACACGAGCCTCCAGGTCTGAAGGGGCAGCGAGAGCTTTCCTTCTCCCACAGGAGATCTCTGTGCCTCCTTTCCAGCCACCCCGAGAGGGCTGCGTGCCGTCTCTGCTTATCAGTAAAGGGGAAGGCGACAGAAGGTGGGGACTGCCCCTATGTTCACTGCCTTCCCCTTGGCTCTGGTGCCCCAGCCTGTTCACAACCTCTGAACTAGCAGTCTGTCTTAAAGGGCCCAGGCCCATGTTCCCTTGGCAGGTTTCAAACTTTGGAGCAGAATGCAGTCAGGTTCCTAACCACAGAAGTGCCAATCCTTTTTTTTTTTTTAATTATTATTAATTTTAATGAAAGTTTACAGAGACTGAGGATTTCCATTCATTCATTGTTGCACTTTTCTCCCTGCCCACCCCTCCCTCTCCCAATTCGCTCTTCTCTTTGAAAAGTAAAAGATAAATTCTTTCACTGTTTTACAATCCCTCCCCCCAGGTCCACTCCACTATGCAGCCTTCGTTCTGGACTCTGGTCATGACAGTAATACCTAATCACATAACACTTTTAAACCATTTTCTCCCTCATCTGTTTCAATACCGTATACATTATTGAACTCATCTTTCTCAGTCTTCCCCCAACCCCGATGTCAGTCCCGTTTTACAACAGTGGCACCATGCAGTATTTGTCCTTTTGTGACTGAGATACTTCACTCAGCATAATGTCCTCCAGGGTCACCCATTTTGAATAATATTGCATGAGTTCCTTGTTTTTCTATGTAATCCTGTCTTGTGTCTCCTTGGGGAAATGGTCTCACTTGGCCATGTGAAACCAGCCATCCCGGGCAGGCTCACACTTGTAGGCTCTGAAAGAGGTGGCACCACCTTGTCTCTTTGCAGCATGTTATTCTTTGAGGACCTACTGTGTGCTGCCTCTGTCCCTCATGTTTCCCTAGCAGAGACGTAGTCACAACGTAGCAGGAAAGGCCAGAGCCTCGCATTCAGATTAGGAAACACAGCGCCTGCAGTGCTCTGGGGCTTGTTGTTGGGTGACTGCTGTGAGCACTTCTCATTCTGTGTCTCTTATGCCACATGACGGGTTGACAAAGTGACCACAGCAATGAGCAGTGACACAGCAGAGGACTGGGCAGTGTTGGTGGCATCGTGTGAGCTGGCCGTGACCCCAGGGCACTAACCGCAACATCAACACGCTACAGAAACTGAGGCTCAGAGGTCAGGTGAGGCCTCCAGCTGACCTGTTCACCTCAGCCCGTAGCTCTGCGCTAGCCCATCGCGCCCCATGCACAGGCTGCTAAGAAGCCCAATACGTGTGAGTGCTGCTGTCCCAGAGGTCACTGTTACAGCGTCCATCTCCGTGACGGACGAGGGCCAGTCTCAGGCTCCTCGCCTTCCAGATCCTGGTCCAGAAGAAGGGCTAGTCAGTATGGAACCCCAGCATTTGCCAGCTCACCCTTATCGACACTATACTTCAGTGGCAAGGTTTGAGGGGCCGTTCAAAGACGGATAATGTCTGAAACATCTGTGTGAGTTCCAGCTTCCAGTTGATGCGTTTTGCTGTTTCGTAGGCCACAGGAGGAGGGTATGAAAGTGACGATGCGTATCATAACGCTGAGCTCTTCTTCTTGGACATTCACAACATTCATGTCATGCGGGAGTCTCTGAAGAAAGTGAAGGACATCGTGTACCCTAATGTGGAAGAGTCTCACTGGCTGTCCAGCTTGGAGGCCACTCACTGGTTAGAACATATCAAGGCGAGTGTCTTTTAAATGACTTGTCTCATGGACTAGGGTGGGTTTTGTTTTGGTGGGGTTTTTTAATGCCTCAAATTTATTTAAAAAATCAGCACTGGGATAAAACCATTTGCAGCCAATATTTTGTGTGTGATGCTTTTGGGTTTCTTTATGTTAATTCGTTTACCTGCCCTAAAGATTACATGGTCCTCGTGGTGCAGTGGTTACAGTGTCCTATTGCTAACTGAGAGATCAGAAGTTGGAACTCCTACAGAGAAAACTGTGCCCGTTCACTTCCATAAAGAACAAGTCTACTCTTAGACATATGCCCTGAGGAAGTGAAGGCCCGTGGACACCAGTGCTCATGGCAGGATTATTTCTAATCGTAGGAAGGTGGAAGCAATGGAGGTACCTGACTAGAGATGACTAGATGATAAGCACAGTGTGGTCTGCCCATATAATGAACGATTTCTTACTCAGCCATAGAGAGAAATGACATTCCGACACATGCCGTGGCATGAATGAACCTTGAAATAAGTCAGGCACACATGGACAATGGCTGGGTGACGTCGCTTACTTGAACTCTCTGCAGTAAGTTCAGAGCGATAGGAAGCAGTGATTCACAGCGATTGGTTGCCCAGGACTGTGTGTGGGAGCAGGGACTGACCTCAGATGAGCGTGCGGGTGTTCTGTGATGGGATCACGTTGGTGGTTGCACAGTTGTTTACAACACCGTCTTGCTGAATTGTATGCCTGGGATGAGTGAACTCCAAACCTTGTAAACGCTATCTCAGTAAGTTCTGGAATCCTCAAAAGTGACATAGGAGTGAGTCTGTGCACCCATGTCTTTGGTAATACTTGAAAGTTTCCGGTTTTTACCAGAACAGTACCATCTTATGTTTCAGATAAGTGTTCCTCTGTTTACCAGTCAAACAGGACTCCACATTCTGTCCATTGAAAGACAATTTTGAGCTGGGCAGTTATTTTACTAGAATGAAAATCAGGATTCAAAGAAATGGGGTAGCAAGTTTGGCTTTTTGTTGCTGTTGTTTTTAGAACCTAAAGCAAACAAAAAGAACCAAAACCCCCCAGAAACCAAGCTCACAACCATCAAGTCAATTCCGACTCTGCTTCCCGTAGGGCTCCGAGTGGAGACGGCCTCATCTCCCCCGCAAAGCACCTCAAGAGCTCAAAGCACTGCCCTGTTAGCTAGCAGCCCGCCCGGCCCCAGCCCCCTCGCCACCGCGGCTCCTCTGAAAGCCAGGGGTGTTTAAATACATGCTGCTTCTCCTGGTGATGAGCTTCAGGTTTTTTCCTGTTATAGTCATGAAGCAGTATTTTCAAATAAGATTTATTTCATAGCATTGAAAAAAATCTCATGTGCGGTATCAGCAGTATCTGACATTCCTGTGGACTTGCCTTTCGTCCCTCACAGCTGGTTCTGACGGGAGCCATTCAGGTGGCGGACAGAGTGTCTTCAGGGAAGAGCTCAGTGGTGGTGCACTGCAGTGACGGGTGGGACAGGACGGCCCAGCTCACGTCGCTGGCCATGCTGATGCTGGACAGCTACTATCGGAGCATCGAAGGCTTCGAAATACTGGTACAGAAAGAATGGATAAGCTTTGGACACAAATTTGCATCTGTAAGTAAATAGTAGTGCACTTCAAACTTTGTGTTTATTTCCTTTAGTCTGTCTTTGTTGCATCTTGAGGGGAGCGTTAGCAAGGCAAGTTGGTTTTCCATTCCTGCCAGTCCCCACATTGTGCCCTCTCTCCCCGCTTCCGCCCCTTTTCCATGGCCCACTCGATCCCAGCCTCTCCTGCCTTCTAGACTTGGCTCCCAGCAAATGCTGCCCGTTGTGCATATGCGGATCATTGAGCAGTGACCACCTCCCTAGTGTTATGGACCTCCTTATAGGCCTATTAAAGGGATTTTTAAATGACTTTTTTGTTTTAATTGTGATTTTAATGAACATTTATAGAAAAGTTAGATTTTCATTCATTCTTTGTTACACATTTTTACCCCCTCCCTTCCCCTTCTCCTAGTTCACTTTTTAAAAATACTCATTCATTGTTGCATAATTACCTCCCTCCACCGCTAGTGCTCTTTGCAGTGCACCTCTTATCCTGGGTGGTTGTCATACATATAATGCCTAATCAGAGATACCTTTTAAACAGTTCTTTGTTTCATCTGTACCAGTGCGATGTTCATTATTTATCTACTTTTATCCTGTTCTCCTCCCAAACCCTCATGTCAGACCTGCTTTTTTTTTTTTTCAGACCTGCTTTATAACAGTTATGCTATGCAGTATTTGTCCTTTGGTGACTGAGATATTTCACTCAACATGATGTCCTGCAAGGTCACCCCATTGTTGTATAATGTTTTATGAGTTCATTGTTTTTCAGTGCTGCATAGTATTCCACTGTATGAATATACCATCATTTTTCTATCCTTTCATTTGTTGATGAACACTTGGGTTGCTTCCATTTATTTGCTGTTGTGAACAATGCAGTAATAAACATAGGTATCGGTGGCAGTTCTGGTTTCTTTAGGGTATAGTCCCAGTAGTGGCTTTGCTGGGTCAAATAGTATTTCTGTTTCTAACTTTTTGAGAAAGCACCAAATTGCCTTCCATAGTGGTTGCACCATTTTACACTTCCACCATCAGTGAATAAGGGTTCTAGTCTCTCCACAACCTAGGCCAACATCTGTTGTTTGCTGCTCTGCTGAATTTTGCTGTTGTTTCTGGGGTGAGATGATATAGTTTTGATAAAGGGAATTTTTCTTAAACCTCAGGTCATTTTCAGAGATTGGAAGATTGATTGCTAAACCATGTCTTCCCCTTTAAAAAGGAAATCTGTGCATGGTAGTAAAAACCACATGGTGTGGTGCTTGGGAGGAGGAATGTTTATCCATCTCCACTCTCCAGGGGTATTTGAGAGTAATGCAAGGAGTGTGTGCACGTGTTTAAATGGACATTAAGCGGATAGAAGCTAGAAGGACCACTCTTTCTCGGCTAATACAGCTAGAAGAGGCATGCTGACTTTATAGAAATGTTACCGTTTTATTTGAGGTCTTTTATACTCTTTTTTGATACATGTTTTTAAAAGCACCTAGGGAGCCCATTAAAACTCCAACCATAAGGACCCAGAGGCCACCTTTCACAGGCCCAGCTGGCTGGGTAGCCTTTAATCCTTCCGTCTAGCTTCTTTGGTATTGTGAATGTCCTTTCCAGGTAAAAGAATCATTGTTTAGTAAGTGAGTAAGTGGCAAGGCTTTTGTTCTTGTTTTCAAAGAAGAAATAACCAACTCTTAAGAATAATCGCACCTTTCTGACAAGGCTTCTAGTCTTGGGGCTTTCAGATTGGTCCCTTAGCAGCGAGCCGGACTCCTCTGGGGGTCCTTCATCACAGCCCAGTGGGCTGAATAATCCAGTCTGTTCTCGGCAGCCTTGGCTTGGCACATGCAACATTCCAGTCATGTGAAATAGCGCAGCATTCACATGGCATGACAGTGCTTTGCCACTTTGTATTGGAGTTACACAGAAGTTGTTGGTAGGTGCCATCTAGACGGCTGTGACTCAGTGATTCTGGGTCCAAGAGGCTGACCCTATGCCGTTCTCACACTCTCTGCTTAAGCCCATTGCTCGAGGCAGTGCGCCAGGCCATCCTCTGGAGGGCCGTCCTCCCCTTCACTCACCTCCACTTTTCCTGCCGTCATGGCCTTCTCCCAGGACTGGCCTCTGCGGAGTCTGGGAGACCAGGTTTCACCATGCTGACTGACCTCGAAGGGGCACCCTGGTTGCACTTCCTCCCTGACAGACCTGTGTGTTCTCTTGGCAGTCCGTGGGCTCTTCAGTACTCTTCTCCAGCACCACAGCTCAAAGGCATCAGCTCTCCATCAGTCTTACTCGTTGCCCAACCTTCATATGCCATATTAATTTCCATAATCAGAGCCTTATTTGCAATCTGCATTTTCATAGGAAAAAGAAAGTGATTTGGTTTGATTTGATTTCCTGGAAAACCTTGGGTTTAGAAGCTAGATCACTGGCCTGTGGTCACATTTCAGAGGTTATATACTGAATCCACATCCCTGAGCGACACAAACAGTTATGAGTTAGACTCTTCACCAAAAGATTGGCAGGTGGAGTTCACCTGCAGGCTCCTCAAGAAAACCAGACATTGAAAACTCACTGGCCCCAGCTCTCTTGTGCTGAACGTGGGCACCATGGCGCCTGAGCACTGCCTTCCCATCTGTGCTCGTGAACTCAAGCGGCTCACCTTCTACGCTTCGTTTCAGAGAATCGGCCATGGTGATAAAAACCACGCTGACGCGGACCGGTCTCCCATTTTCCTACAGTTTATTGACTGTGTGTGGCAAATGTCCAAACAGGTAAGAGACACACAGGAGGGAGGTGGATTTGGGGAGTGTTACAGTAAAGTGTTTGCCTAGATTATCTAGGATTAGCTTCAGCATAAGACCGAGCCGAAATGAGCACAGAGCCCGACGGGCTGAAGTGGGTGCTCGGAACATGGGAGGGAGTTCACCTTCTAAAATGATATGCTCGCCCTGAATTTTTCATATACATTTAAAAATAAACCCTTTAACTGCAATGTCTCTACAGTGGAGGAACAGTGTTGTTGACGAGACCATTTAACATTTTTCATACATTCTGTACTGGTGTTGGATTATTGGCATTTCTGTTAATTCAGCACTTTAATTCATTAATTAAACAAGTGTGTCAGAGGTTGTGAGGACGGTACAGGATAGGACAGGGTTCAGTTCTGTTGTTCAGAGGGTCTACATTGGTCATACTCGACTCCATCGCACCTCACAACAACAACACAAGCCTTGGACAGGCAGCTTCGCTGGCGTAGTCCTGCCAACCCAAAGGCCACGCCTCTTTGACAGCTCGATTCTACCAGCAGCGCCCTGGGAGAAAGATGGGCATTCTCCTTCTGTGCGAGTCACAGCTTCTTGAAAACCCGCTGGAGGGTCAGCAGTGAGCGTAAAGCTTTTCTTACGGACCCCATACGGGGGCCCGGGTGACAGTGGTCACAGTTGAGCATCCAGGGGCTAACCGGAAGGTCATTGCTTCAGATTCTCTCGTCACCCCACGGGGAAAGGAACTGGCTGGCCACTCTTGTCAGAGGCAGCCTCGGAGGCCCTGCAGAGTCCCCGTCATCAGAATCCATGGACTGGGGTGGGCTTGGGGCACAACCCCACACTCAAGAACATTTTCCTGCCTTCACTCTTTGCTCTCGTCAGACTTTAAAATTTTTGGCCCCATGCAAAACCCCCACACGACTCCATTGTCGACACTTGTGTGCTGTGTCTTTTCAGCACCGTGCAAGAGCAGTCTGACTAAATTCATGCTTCTTGTTTGTTTCTGTCTAGTTCCCCACAGCCTTTGAATTCAATGAGCAGTTTTTGATCACGATTCTGGATCATCTGTATAGTTGTCGGTTCGGCACGTTCTTGTACAACTGTGAATCTGTTCGAGAAAGGCAGGTGAGTGAGGCTGTCCGTCTCTTTGGTCAGGGCCCTCAGGATGGGCGTGGTCTGCCACGAGACACGGGAAGGGAGTGAAAGGAAGGAGACATGTGAAAAAGGATGGAAGCTGGAGAGTCTGAGACAGTGGCCAGTGACTGAGCGGGAGTGCACAGGATCCCTCGGCGCTGAGGGAACCCCACAGAACTCGGGGATGAGCATAGCAGGCACTTGGGGTGAAGGGAGATTAAACTAAGCTGAAGATGTATTTCACCTCCCAGGGTGCCGCCACCCCTCCCGGAACTGAGGACTCTGTCCGTGGTCTGGAACTTCCCTCTCTGGAGGGGGTGAGAGAGTGGGTTTCTGAACTGGTAACCCTGGTATCTAACGGGCAGGTGCTGACTCTTGAGAGCCCCTGCTGATTCTCCCTGGTTGACTCCTACGGTTCTGGCACTTTCTGTTCCAGGCAAGAACCTGAAAGAATGGTCTGTTGACAGGGAGGTGGGGAAATCAGAGCTGGTGGGAATGTAAGTGGTGCAATCACCAGGGAAAACAGTTTGAAAAGTTAAACATTTAACTGCCGATATGACCCAGTAATTTCACTCCTGGGTGTTTATTCCAGAGAAATAAGAACAGGTCCGCACAAAGACTGGCGTACAGATGTTCATAGCTAAAAGAATCAGGTGTCCTTCAGTGGGTAAAGGGATAAACACAGTGTAGAATGGAATACCATTCAGCCACACAGGGAAACAAGGCCCTGGCTGAACCTTAAAGACATACTGAGGGAAATAATTCACTAACAAAAAAGTCAGTATTGTATGATTAACTTACACGGCAAAGACGGGCCGGTGGTTAGATGTGGTTACTGTGGGTGGAGGAGGGGAGAAGGAAAATCATTCTCTGGTAAAGAGTGGGTTGTTGTTTTACGGTGGTGGGGAGCCTTGGCATGAACTGAGGTAACAGTTGAAACCATTAATTTAAGCAGTGCACGGTTAAAAATCAGGAAAAGTGTGCATCCGGATTGTATCCTGTCTCCATACCTATTCATTCTGTATGCTGAGCAAATCATTCCAGAAGTTGGACTCTGAAGAAGAAGGTGGCATCAGGATCGGAGGGAGACTCACCAAAAACCTGAGTTACGCAGATGATATAGCCTTGCTTGTTTAAAGTGAGGAGAGCTTGAAGCACTTGCTGCAGAGCAAAGATACAGCTTTCAAAATGTATTCCATCTCAACACAGAGAAAACAAAATTCCTCACCACTGGACTAATAAGAAACTTCATAATAGATGGGGAAAAGATGGAAATTATAACAATTGCATCTTTCTTACAATCAAAACCCTTGGTACAGCAGTCCCGAAATCAGAAAAAGTGTATTAGGAAAACCTGCTGTCAAAGACCTCTCCAAACTGCTAAAGAGTAAGGGTGTCAGTTTAAAGACTAAGGTGTGTCTGATCCAAGCCATGATATTTTTACTTGCTTCCTGTTGTTAATCAGATGCAGAAAGAAAACATGGACATGAGGAAATGAATTCGGGGGAAAAAAGGAAGGCTTAGGCAGAGGTCCTCTCACCACTTAGCATCATTCTTAGTCCTCCTATCATTTTTATTTCGTTTAAAACAATAATAATAAAGAATATCCTATCTCATGAGGCTATATTTTCCTTATACCTAAGTGTTGCCAACATAACAGTGGGTAAGTTTAATTGTAAACCAAGAGCAAAGTTCAGTCAGGGTATCCCCTCCAGTGGGAGGCTGGGAGGATCCTTCTGTTTGCAGAGGGCAGCCTCGGGGTGGGGGGTGGGGGGCCTGGTTGGAAGTCCCTCTTTGCAGAGGGCGCTCAGTCCTGCCTGGACTCTGATCTCAGCTGCGGCCAGCTATCACTATGCCGAGCTACCCACAGCTTCCCATGCATCTGAAAGTTGGACATTGAGTAAGAGTGACGGCAGAAGCATTTGAAGTGTAGTGTTGACGGAGTATTGACTATATCATGGGCTATCAGAAGAACAAACAAATCTGTGTTGAAGAAAGTGCAACCGGAGTGTTCCTTTAGGCAAGGACGGTGAGACTTTGGCTCACACACTTTGGGCGTGCTCTCAGGAAACACCAGTCCTTAGATAAAGACATTCTGGCAAAGGTGAAGGGCCAGAGAGAGACAGGAAGAGCCTCACAGCGACTGCTAGTGATGGGCTGGAGCGGAGCCCGAAGTGTGAGGCGAGTCCGGGCGAGGGTAAGGGTCACACCAGAGGCTTGCCGTGACTTGCCGTCCACTCATTGACATGCAATGACCACAAGGGCAGTAGTCCCAGGGTTAGAGGAAGGGTGGGTCTCTCAGTTGAAGCTAACTCAGCGGCACCTAACAGTCATGCTGTACACCAGGGGGTGGGGAGGGAATGCAAACAGAACCTTACATATCATCTCACCACAATGACCACAGGCGACAAGAGATTGCAAGTGTCGGCACTCAGTTCCAGCCAGGAGATCAGGGCATGTGGGGCAATCGGAGAGTCTGTAGTGAGAGACCTCTCCCAATTACTGGGGAGCAGTGATTTCACTTTGAGGAACAAGGTGTACCTGATTCAGGCCATGGTCTTTTTAGTCACTTGCTCTGCATCTGAGAGCTGGGCAGTGAATAAGGATGACAGGAGAATGGATGCCTTTGGGCTGTGGTGTCCGAGGAGAGCGCCGAAGAGCCTATGAACGGCCAAAAGGACCAGCAGATCTGTCTGTCTTGGAGAAGGTGCAGCCAGGGTGCTCCCTGGAGGGGAAGGTGATTAAGCTTTGTCCCACATCCTTTGGGCACGTTGCTCGGAGAAGCTAGTTCCTTGGAGAGGGACATCGTGCTTGGAAAGGTGGGGTGACCAAAAAAGAGAGGAAGACTATCAACCAGGTGGCCTGTCACAGTGACTGCCACCATGGGCTCCAGTGTGTCAGAGGTGGTGAGACGAAGCTTTGCCATCCTTGCCTCCAGGGAGCACTCCGGCTGCTCTCTCCCCAGGACACACCTGTTTGTTCTCTTGACCGTCCATGGCATGGTCAGTGCCCTTCTCCAACACCATGGCTTGGACATAGAACCCTTTTAAAGAATTATCTAAACGAGATAAATATGAGGTAAAACAGAAGAAGGTTAGGGGCAGTGTTATTATTGTTCTGTCCTGTTGAGTCAAGTTCTACTCCCAGCAACCCTGTGAACAGTCGTCGTGAGCCCTGTCCTAACCTGTGCTATCCTCATCATTGCCACCCATGAGCACATTGAACAGTCACTGTACGGTCCACCTGGCTGAAGGTCTGGCCCTCCTTCACGGACCCTCCACTTTCCCAAGCATGATGTCTCCCTCTAAGGAGTTGGCTCTCCTAGCAGCATGCCGAAGGATGTGAACTGAAGCTTCACCACCTGTGCCTCCAGGGAGCACTCTGGCTGCCCTCTTTCCAGGACATACCTGTTCTTTTGGCCGTCCATGGGATATTCAGTACCCTGTACCACAACTCAAAGGCATCTTCCGCTGTCATTCTTAGTCACTGTTCAACATGAACACCATGGCCTGGATCAGGTGCATCTTGGTCTTCACACAGACATTATTGCTCTTCAAGACTCTGGAGAGGTCCCTGACAGTGGACTTGCACGATGCAGTGTGTCTCCTGATCTCCTGACTGCTGGTACCGAGGATGTTGATCGTGGATCCAAGCAAGAGAAAATCGTCGACAGTTTGAACCTTTTCTCCATCTATCATGATGTAGCTTATTGGTCCCGTGGTGAGGGTTTTCTTCTTGATGCTGAAAGCTGTAGCCTTTGATCCTCTGCAGCCAGCAAAGGGGCAGTGAGTGTAAGGTAGTGGTGGAGAAACAACGTGCGTTGAGACGGATGGCAGGGATGTTGACATGGCCTGAAAATGTGACCAGTGTCATGGAGAAATAGTTCACCAAAAATAGAATCAAGTTGAGCACTCCAATGTGTTTATGTTTTACTCTGGAGTAGTCTTCATGGGTCAGTGGATTACACGTACTGCTCCAGCATCCTCTGTCTTTGGGCAGAAATAGTGGTTCTCCAGCGGGGCCATTGTCTCTGCCAGCGCTGGTAAGTGGCACTCTCTGGCCTGTGACACACTTGGAGCTGGTTTGGGGATAATGTAACTGAGTGTGTGACTCGGAGCAGAACAGCTTGGTTCAAGATAACACTGACGTGGATGGCCAGAGGGTTTCTGTGTTTGTTTTACTTAAACTATCTGTTTTCTCTTTTTCTTTAGAAAGTTACAGAAAGAACGGTTTCCCTGTGGTCGCTGATAAACAGTAAGAAAGAAAAATTCAAAAATCCCTTCTATACTAAAGAAATCAATCGCATTTTATACCCGGTCGCCAGTATGCGCCACCTAGAGCTCTGGGTGAATTACTACATTCGGTGGAACCCCAGAATCAAGCAGCAAGTAAGTGGGATGGCCCGGGGGAAAGAGAGCACACTATGAGGTCCGCTTTCTAATACCGCCAGGGAAAACACCAGGCTACCGAAACCCACGAATGGGTTTGGTTTAAGTACTAACACAATTGCTTTGGTTAATGTTTGACTTCAGTTTCTCTGTCAACATGTATAATAGCATTTTTACGAGCGCTTAAGTGGATTTCAAGCCCTGGAATGGTTTGTGCTTTGATGTGATCACCTGAAGCGTTACACACCACATACCCACAGTGACCAAACTCAGAAGATCCTTTGAAGGTCAGAAAAGAAATAGATTTCCCCACACATACATAGGTCCAGGTGAACATTCTGATGAACTAGGGTTTTTGTTTTCTAACCGAAGGCCTTTTGTTTTAAAAAGGCACTCTAGGGACGTAAAGCATGTTGCACAGCTAACCAAAAGGTCAGCAGTTTGAATCCCTCAGAGGCTCTGAGAGAGAAAGACGGGCAGTCTCCTCCCATTCCCCCTGACCACCTGGGGAACATAGTGGAGGGTTGCTGTGAGATGGAGTTGACTCGGCACGTTGGGTTTATACGAAGATTTCCTTCTAAGGGAGTCTCCCTCTCGTGGTATAGATAGTTCGAATCCAGCCAGAGGCTCCTTAGAAGACGGGCTTGGTAATCCACTTCCAAAGGCCACAGCCTCTGACACATGAGTTACATTTGACTCATGGAAACTGGAACTAGTTAGGGCTAAAGGAAACCACTTTGCTCTGTCAGTGGAGCAAAGTGACTTGGCCATTCAGAAATCAGAAATGGGAAAAAATGATGTTTAAAGTGGAGGACTCCACATCCTATTTAAAATACATTATTGTTGTTGTTAACATGCTGTCGAGTCACCTGTGACTCATAGAGAACCCTACGTACAGCAGCTCTGAAGCCTGCCCTGTCGTGAGCCAGTCTTGCTGTCTCTGACACACCAGCTCCCATTGCCCCAGTTACTGTATCAATCCATCTCACTCCAGGGTCTTCCTCTCCTGCACTGCCCTTCCACCCTTCCGAGCATGATGTCCTTCTACGAGGATCAGTCCCTCCTGGCCATGTGCCCAAAGTGTGTGAGATGTAGCTTCAAAATCCTAGTCTCCAAGGAGAAATTTTATTTCACCCGCTCCAAAACAAACCTATTTGTTTTCTTGGCAGTCCATGGTATTATTCAATACTCTTCTCCAGCACCACAACTCAAAGGCATCAGTTCTTCTTTTTTTTTTGGCATCAGTTCTTCTTGTATCCTCCTTAGTCATTGTCCTGCTCTCTAATGCATAGCAAGTAATTGTGAAGACCATGGACTGGATCAGGCGCACCTTAGTCTCTAGACTGATATCATTGCTTTTCAGTACTCTGGAGAGGTCCCTGACAGTTGATTTACCCAATGAAATTTGTCTTTTGATTTCCTGACAGCTGGTGCCAAAAGGTTGATTGTGGAGCCCAGCAAGCTGTAACTGTTAACAACCTCAATCTCTTCTCCATCCATCGTGGTGCATTAGAGCTTTTCATTCTCCCCCTCTGCACCCCTCTCTCCAGAAGCAGGGGACAGGAGTAAGTGGTCCGTAGCCTGGGGCCTAGCTCGGCTGTGCAGTTGCTGTGTGTAGGGTTCTCCCAGCACAGGAAGACCGCAGTGACAGCAGGGCTGCATGGCTGCAGTCCGTCTCCTCTGTTTTGATCCTGCTGAGGCAACAGGTGTGGTGCCAGTCGGGGGCCTCCTGGCACTTCAAGGCTGCTCGCTTGCATGCAACCCTGTTGCCATTTACTAATGGAGGAAACATATTCTTTTGGAAGGTGATAAATTCCAGGGCTCGTGAACATCCCTTGTTTGGTTTGGGATCTGAGCCCCCGAGAGTTTATTTAACGTGGACGTAGTGTGCAGAGCGTGGAGTGGAGCATGTGGGAACATAGCCAGTGTTCTGAACCAAGGACGTGGCGCTTTTCTGATTAACAGATAGAGATGGGCGCTCAACAGTAAGTCAGCACTGGCATTTAAAAAGCACCCACCATTTCTGGACAGATTCCAGCCTCTTCTCTCACCCACTTGTCCTTGGGGAAGTGCTTGAAATGCAAAGAACTTAGAGCAACTCATTTCTGATTTGACAGTGGCAGTGCTGGGAACTCAGAGCTAGTTGTTCTTGGTACGAGTCGTGTAGTCGGAACCAGCTCATAGCTGACTGAGGTGGTGAATCGCACAGGAAGAGATTGGCAACCTTTCTCCCTCGGAGCAGCTGGTGGATTTGAACCACATGCCTTTGAGTTGACGGCACAATTCCTTACCCAGTAGGCTACCACCCGAGCTCTCCGTATCTTTAGAGGGGTTTTCGGTACTATCTCAATCCTCTGTGTTCTGCTAGAGTGTTTTTGCAGAGTGGAACTGGGGCAGAGAGAAATGGTCGTTCTCTGTGGCACTTTGGTTTATTTGAGGCATCATGGCTTTCATCATTGGTTTACATTATGACCTGTTGGAACTTACTCCAAAGACAGAACATCTCCTCTCTGGGTGCACCTTCATAACATTCAGCACCATGCACCCCAGGACGGACTGTCTCCATGCCGCAGGTGCTGTGGGCCCACCAGGAGTGTGGCTGCAGGGCGCTGGGGACATGCACAGTGGAGCCAGGCACGTGGCGCAGGTGCTCCCTGCGTGTAAACTGCATGTGCCCTGGAGAGACCAGCTGCCAGGGCGGAGGTGCCCAGCAGTGCACAGTTTAGTGGGTACTCAGGACACCGGACCTGCCACAGTAGTGTGGCTCAGACCCAGGTGTTGAAGGCTCGTTGGAGTATAAGCCCACTGCTGGTAGGTGCTGTCGAGCTGATTCCGACTCCCAGCAACCCCTCAGGACAGTGGACTCTCCAGAAGGTTCCCAGGCTGTCGTCTTTGCAGAGCCGGCAGCCTCGGCTTGCTCTCTCCCTCGGAGCCACTGGAGGATTCCAGCTAAGGGCGTCTCGGTTACCAGCCGACACATAACACATGCCCAAGAACCCAAAAACCAACTCATCACCCGTGAATCAGAAGTGATTCACAGCTGACCAGCCGGCAGGGTCTTGGAAGTTGTAAGTCACGCAGAAGAACATGGCCCGTCTTTCTCCTCAAAAGCTGCGCATGAATTGAGCCAGTGGAGAAGCCAAGCCAGTGGTCCTGTGAGCAGGACAGCTTGTGTAGGACTGCGCCACCAGAACAGACTGCTGCCGTGGACGCCCTGCCGGCCCTCCGGCAAGTTTCCAGAGGCAGCAAATCGCTCTCCTGCCAAACAGTTGCTGGGTTTGAACCACGTGCCTTTGGGATGACAGTGCAGCTCCTTACCACTGGGCCACCAGAGCTTCCCAGACACACACTAAAAACACATTTGAATGTCTTAAAAGAGCTGCATAGTCTTCACACCAGTAGATGAAAATCCGCTCACAAAGCTTTTCATTGCATAATGTAAGCCTGCAAGTCTGCTTAATCATTTCAGACTTAAATCATTAGCCAGTCCGAGACCCAGTTGGTTTTCAGACAATGACAGGCTCCTGCTGCGAAAGTGGGGCATCAGAGGAAGAGGAAGCCCTTCAACCTGATGGATTGACGCGGCGACCACAGCGGGCTTGAGCATGCCCAGATGCAGTAGATGGAGCAGGGTCACCGGAAGTCCTAGTCAGCTCAATGGCACCTAACAACAATTGTATCCATGCCACTGGTCAATGTTAGAAGACCCAAAAGGACATACAGTTTCCGTCCTGAGCTGTTAACCTAGAAGAAAGCAGTGATAGTATGCAAATGTTTAAAAATAACTGCCGCCTTGCTTTGATAGAAAACTCAGCCGTATTTACGGCAGGACCGGTAATAACATTTGATGAGCTAACAAGTGAGAAATGACGCTGCATAATATTGAATGTCACTTAACTTTACATGTCATTTCTTCTTTCTTTTGTGCTGTCACAAATGGGCTGTTCACTATTTTGTGCTGTAAGCCGTGGTTGTCTGCGTACTGATGACTTTTCTGTTTTGCTTGCTGTTACGTATCTGAATGGTACCTTTCTTTCGGCAGCTTTTCTGTTTAATCTCATATTGTCTGATGCTTTAGTCATGGCATCTACAAAAAGCAGTGGTTTACTGCTGATTTTTTTTTCTTGTGTAATTGCACTGGCTGGTAGACGGTTCTCATTGCTACATGGTGAGAAAAGAGGTCTTGAACAAGAGCCAAGACAGTCTTGGCGGAGAATGTGGAGGAAGTACTCACCTTACTCTGTGGAACAGAGCAGAGCTCAGAGGCAGCACTTGCAGAAGAGAACAACTTCATGTAGCGAGAAGGGACAGCTGAGAGCAGAGAGCAAAGAAAGGATTGTCCTCTCACCGGGACTGAGGTGAAGAGCGAGACCAAGTATGTCCACAGTGGATGTAAAGGAGGCTGCAAGGCCCAGGCGCTCCTCGCTAGCGCTCCCGTCCAGGGAGAACGCCTTACAACACTTGGAAGCTGGGATGTGCATGAGGTTGTGAGAGCATCAGGTTTCACAGTAGGGAGCAGTGTGGCCGGCTACCCCTTACTGAGGAAGGGGATCCCTGCACGCTGGTATATTCACTCAGTGGAACTTAGCCAGTGGACGGCCCAAAAGCATGGCATGCCTATGGCGTCATGATGCAGACACAGCATCCTGACACAAACCTGAACAGAACAAAACCAATACTGTGTCTCCATTCTGGATAGTTCCTCCTAGGAAACATCCCAGACCTCTCCAGGAAGGTTGGACGCCAGTTCCAGAAAGAGGCGTGGGCACTGTTAGCTGGCCAGAAAGAGCTCTGGCGGCAGAGTGGGCAGGAAGCTGCCTGGCTGACGCAGAGGTGGGGCAAACCTGCCTGCAGTCTCCTCCCATGCGATGTGCAGCCTCTGAAAACGGAAGGTTTTCAATGACTTGTGACTCAACAGCAATGAACGTGACATTGTTAAGTTTGGAAAAAGTGTTCTTTGCATTGTTTTATTCTTGGCGGTGACTACTTCATTGGTGTCTTACTGCTTTTTGTATTTCCCCCTATGGTTGAGTTAGGCACTATTTTAAAGGAAATGTAAGACGTCCTGGGGTGCAGTGGTTAAGCGCTCAGAGAGAAAAAAGCTGTGGCAGTGATGGTGGCAGCCCTCCGTGGCTCCCCAGCACTGCTTTGCGTCAGAGCGGGCTCGCTGGCGGGTGTGCTTTCGCATTTGACCTTAATCCTGGGTGAGAGGGCTTCCTCGAGAGCATAGCGGGGTGGGGCCATGGGTGTCGGGGAGCTGGCCTGGAGGGCTAACTCTGGGAACGTGTGTCCTCCAGCAGCCGAATCCCGTCGAGCAGCGCTATGTGGAGCTCCTGGCTCTGCGGGACGAGTACATCAAGAGGCTGGAGGAGCTGCAGCTCACCAACTCGGCCAAGGTCTCGGACCCCACCCCGGCGAGCCCTTCCCAGATGATGCCCCACGTGCAGACGCACTTCTGAGCAGCAGCCCTGGCGCTGAGCCCCAGCTCGGAATAAAGGGACGAGCGGACTTTGATCTTGTGCATCTGTACAAAGTAGATGAAAATATCTGCCTCCATATAGAACTTGAACTAATATAACCTTAAACTCTCGAGTTTGTGCCTTCTTTAATGCATCTTACAAGAAAAATGCAGTGTCCACTTGGCGCTCAGAACACAGTAGCCAAGATGATGTTTCAGAAACTCCTGACACCATCCCGCGAGCAGGTTTTGCGAGCTTTCACGTGTCATTTAGCTCCTAGCCAGTATGCAGTATGGATTTTGTGATTTTCAAAGGAACATTGTATTACATGAAAAGGGAAAGCATGTTTGAAAGGGATTTCCCCCCCAAACTGTTTCTTTCAAGTAGTAATTTTGGATGATCAGAAAATTAACCCAAACATGAAAGATATGTGTTACTGCCAAAGCCAAGTTGAGCGCCCCTTCAGGCATTCCCCCAAAGCGAGGCATTGAAATACTAGCCCAAGTCTCAGCCCCCAGAAGTGCAGAGTTAAGGAGAAGGATCAGTGGAGATGAATTGTCATTATTTTGAAAGTTGGGAATCTGACGTGATTTCCCCTCCTTTGCAAGAGAAGCCTATTTTTATATTAAAAGACAGGTAATGCCCAGTTAAATATGAATTTCAACTTCGACAGTTCTGTTTTTTAAATTCTTTATTTAGTGTGGTTTTTCAGTTGTGGCAAATGGCACTGTGTGAGGGTGAATATTTCCACAGGCGGCCTTGCTATAGTTGCACAGCCTGTCTACCAAAGGAGGGCCTGCCGTCTCGTGTCTTCGCTCTTCCGAGAGCTCTACGCTTGGAAAGAAGTGCCCAGGTGTGTATTTGTTGAGCGTATTCTTTATTGTGTGCAATGAATGGCTGTTTTAATGGTGTCAGGCCCCCTTCCCCTCAAGTGTGCATCAAAACTGATTCTACAGATTTGTACTTGAAGTACCGGGCACTTTGCTTTGTTCAGGTTCCTCGGCATTTTGTTTGTTATGTATTTGTTTCATTTTTGTATTATTAAATGAAACTTTAAATGCACAGTTCTATTTGCTATTTGAACTAATTCATTTAGTAAGTGTTTTGTAAAAGTTAAGGCTAAAGTTAAAACAATTAATGTGTTTTACAATGATTTGTAAAGGACTATTTATAGCTAATATGATTTCGTTTTCAATGAATTAAGAGAGATTAAATATATCTTTGTAAATTATTTTATGTCATAGCTTAAATGGTCTACCAAATAAGGCATTGCAAATGCAGTAGTGTCTGTAATGTATGGACTTTGTAAGTATAAGGGTTTTCTTAGACGTCCTCTTGCTTTTTGTAAACGCTGTAAATATTTCATAAATTAACAAAGTGTCACTCCATAAAGAGGAAAGGAGCTCATACTAATAGTTTAAAGCATTATTATAAAATTTCATGAAAGTGTTTTCGTGGCAATAACGACTAAAGACCTGCTGTAATAAATCTATTCATGAAACCATGACTCAGTTGCCGGGGCTGCATTCGCCGTCTATCTTTTCAATGTGTAGAACACTTCTCTTTTATTCCTGGGTCTCCATTTGTTTTTGTCTGTCTTACTAGCGAGCTTCAGGAGTCTGGCAGCATAGTGCTTTATATGTTTTGCTGCTTCGGAAACGATCACTGTTTCGAATCCACCAACTTCTCCTTAGGAGGTAAATGAGCAGTCTGCTGCCGTAAACGTTGGCAGCCTTGGAAACCTGATGAGGGGTCACTGTGGTTGAGATCAGCCAGACAGTAGTGAGGTTTTGGCGAGCAGTGAAGACTTCAAGAGGCACAGCTGTCTTGACTAAAGTAAGAATGTGAATAAATAAACCAGAGCATGGCCGTCTAGGCAGCTGCTAGTGCTGACAACCCTGGGTGTGTGGAGTGGAAGGCTCCGTGGTGGTGTGTTGCTTTGGGAGGAAGCGAATTGACGGTAACTTGTGGGCGCAGATCACCAGGGCTGTGTTCTCCTGGCCCACTGCACATGTTTGCATTTGAACTGCCAGCCTTTCAGTTAGAAGTCGAGTGCAAACTGCATAGCCCAGGAACCTGAAAGTAAGAGTAGCTTATGCAGAAGGGCTGGGGTGAATGCCCTCTGAATCACATGGAGACCACAGCAGTGGACAGCCCATAAGGAAACAGGAACTGAATACAGCCACTAACGTGAATGAGCTTGGGTGGGGATTCTTCCCCAGGAGGCTCCAGAAAGGCCCACAGGACGCCCCCTTGTCAGCCTTGGGAGGTCCTGAGCACAAGAGCCAACGTGCTGGGCCTGGGCCGGACTTCAGGCCTACAGAAACCGTGAGACAATCAACTGGTGTTGACTTAACCTGCTGAGTTTATGATAGCTTCTTAAGGCAGCAATAAATACGCTAATACAGGGCTCATCAGTGTTGTGGTGAGGTGCCTACGAGTTCAACTGAACAGCGATCTGGACCCTGGACTATCCCGTCCATCCTCGTCACCTCTGACACACGCAGGCGCATTGCTACAGTCCATCTTGGGGAAGGTCTTCCTTTCTTTCACTGACCTCTCCAAGCATGATGCCCCATTCCAAGGATCAGCCCTTCCTAACAGCAGGCCCAGAAAAATGTCTCTTTGTGCTTTGTTGCCTATGTGTGAACCATAACAAAATATGACTAACAGTGAGAAGAATTGGAATCCCAGAGCACTAATTGTGCTCATGTGAAACTTAAACCTATTCCAAGATGCTATTGTGTGAACAGAGCAAGGGAACACTCACCTGTGTGACTCATAGCAAACCTAAGTATAACAGCTCTGAATCCTGCCCTGTCCTGAGCCAGTCTCACTTGACACCGACACACCTACACCCCTTGCCCCAGTCACTGTATTGGTCCATCTCATCCTGGGTCTTCCTCTCCTGGCCTGTCCCTCCACCCTTCTGAGCATGATGTCCTCCAAGGACACATGATGTCCTCCTGGCCACATGCCCAAGGTATGTGAGACGGAGCTTCAAGATCCTTGCCTCCCAGGAACAACTTGATTTTAACCTTCTCCAGGAGTTCTCTTGGCAGTCCATAGTACATTTAGTACTTTTCTCCAGCACCACCACTCAAAGACATCACTACATGGTTTCAAATTAAGAAAGGTGTGTGTCAGGGTTGTTGTTGTTAAGTGCCATTGAGTCATAGGCGACTCATAGTGACCCTATGAAAAAAAGACCTGAACACTTGGATAACTTTCTTCCTTTCTCCAGATTCATAGGGTTTCTGGAGACAAGCTATTTTGGAAGTAGATGCCACTCCTGCTTCCAAGCTTGATTTAATCGGGGAGCTCCAGCAAACACTGTCCACCATGGGTGCCATTGTCGCATTTGGCACATCAGTGTCACTGCTCAGCTTCACAGCAGCCACGAGTTACCTCTGTACGGCAAGTGGACAGACCAGGGCTATGCCACCTAGAAGAACGTTTCACAAAAACAGACCTGAGGGCCGCAGATTGATGTCACCCACCTTTGGCTTGGTTGTGTCACCTTCTGTCTATTATCCATACCTATTTAATATGTAGGCTGAGAAAATTATTCAAGAAGCTGGAATCTATGAAGAAGAATGTGGCATCAATACTGGAGGAAGACTCGTCAACACCCTTTGTTATGGGGATGACACAAACTTAATTGCTCAGTGAAGAGGACTTGAAGCACTCGCTGAAGGTCAAACACCGCAGCCCTTCAATATGGATTACATCCCAACGTTGTTGTTGTTGTTATGTGCCATCGAGTCTTGCAACTCAAAACAAACCTACGTACAAGAGCCCTAAACCCTGCTCTATCTTGTGCCAACCTAACTGTCCCTGCCACACTCACTCCCATTACCCCAATCACTGAATCGATCCATCTCATCAAGGGTCTTCCTCTCCTGCACTGTCCCTCCACCCTCCCAAGCAGGACATCCCTCTCCAAGGACTGGTTCCTCCTTGCCACATGTCCAAAGTATGTCAGACGAAGCTTCAGAATCCTTGTCTCCAAGGAGCAGCCCAGTTTCACCCTCTCCAGGATGAACCTGAATCCCAGAGGCACATGGTTCGAATCCATCATATGCTCTGCTGGAGAAGGGGGGGGCAGTCTCCTCCTGTGCCAGACAGATCCATTTGATGGTACACACACACACACACACATTTAAAAAAATTAAGAAAAAGGTTGAAATCAGATATTTTCTCTGACCACCATGAAATGAAGGTACGCATCAATAATAACAATAAAAACCTAGCAAATAAACAAAAATGGAAATTAAATAACATGTAAAACTATCAGTGGGTCAAGGAAAAAATCTAAAGGGTCAAATGAAAATGAACACCCAGCAGAGCGAGACCAGTGGGATGGGCGACGGCAGTGTGAGCGGCCCCAGGAGGCCCTAACTGGAGCTCTATGCTTTTTTTAAAAAAAAAATTAATTTTATTAATTTTAATGACTGTTTACAGAGAATTTGGATTTCTATTCATTCATTGTTGCATTTTCCTCCCTGTTCACCCCTCCCCCCAAGTTCGTTCTTCCCTTTGAAAAGTTAAAAGAAAAAAAGCGAAGAGGGTCATGAGGGAGATGCATTCCTAGTAGGAGCTGGTTCCGTCAGCTCAAAGTGAGGGCGGATCTGCGTTAACGTTCAAAGGTGAGTAGTTGTCCATCTGCCAGGGACATAATAACTAAGTCCCTTAGTCCATAACTCAGGGCTGTACTTGGAGGGAAGCATCCAAAGGAGAAGGGCCTTCAATTTCACAAGTACTTCAGGCACTAGGAAACAACAGCGGTCAGAGCACAAAACAAGACTCGACAAAACTAGATCTCAGTTCCAATCAACTCAGTGGACTTTCACTAAATGGTCCAAGAAAAGATGCAAATAGCCAAAATGCATGTTACACTTGGCCTGTCAGAATGTTCTTGAATGACTGTATGGCATCAGAGGAGCCCTGATGGCATTGAGTGTAGCAGACACATCAGGCAATGGACACACGATGGCCTC